ATGTATTCGACTCCAGGAAAAGCGCTCCATTGCATGGCTCTTTCGTCGAGGCATGGCCATCCTCTGGTCACTCCCACTTCCACTTTCAGCGTGTGATACTCCATCCAGGTCATTCCATGGGGCAGCGTTGCGCCAAATCCACGGGCAGGACCAAAGCTCGAATCAGGCTCGATGGGCGCAAGAGCGTCCACGTAAGTCGATCCACGCGATACCAAGTGTTCATCAAAAGTACGCGCAGCACGGAAAACAGCACAATCAAGAGAGCGTGAAAAACTCTCGTGAATCCACCCAGGCAATTCGACAATGTAGATCTTGCCATCGTGCCTCGCCATTGCGCGCGACGCAAGCGCTTGGTGTTCGGATTTCACATATCGTGTCCAATCGGCCAGCGAGACTTCACACACAAACACACCCGGATCGGTCTCGGCACGCGTGGGAGAAGTCAATTCGGCATTGACTTGCTTCATATCCATCTTCCGGATCAAGCGGTTGATGCGTTGGACCGCCATATTCTGCGCAGAAAGCGACGACGTCGCCACAACATGCGACACTCATCGACGTCTCCAGTCTCGTTGTGTGTGAAAGAAACAATGACCATGAAGGAACGTTGTCGATACATTTTTCAAGTGCACGCGCCATCGTTGAATCCCGTTTGGTGCTCGTGTCTTCAACGGTACGACGACGTTGGTTTTGTCGATTCCAACATTCCCGCGATCTTTCCGACATGGCCAAGGCGTTGCTGGAGTTGTGACCGCCGTGAGCCCAGACGAGACGTCGTTTGCTGTCGGGGACCGTGTGTGCGGCAATACGACGGGGGCGTTCGCAGACCATGCCGAGCGACTCAACTGGCTTCCGTCTTCGTTTTCATGTGAGAAAAGCGCCGCGTCGTGTCGGTGGCGTATCAGTCGGTGCATCAGGGCTTGGTCAATCACGGGTTTTGAAGCTGGGTTCAAGGTGCTCGTGATTGGGGCAAGCGGCGGGTTGCGGCACGGCTGCGATTCAAATGGCGAAAGCACCGGGGGGCCAGTAGTGGTGTGCTCCACGAACACCTGGTTCGATCCCTCGACCGCACCATCGATTACGACGTGCAATCGATCGTGGACAAAGGGCACTTTGACTTTGTGTTTACCACCCCAAGCACATTTCCCCGCAGATGACAAGACGCAAGGGCGAGGATCTGGCTAAAGTTGTGAGCCTCCTGGAGCATTCAGGGCATCGCCCCGTCATCGTTATGGTGTCGCCCTTTACCCCCGCTGGCATCCACGCAGGCTTCAAGCAGCTCAAGACCCGTCGAACCAAGGGTAAGGTGATCGTTGATGTGCTGAATGCCAAAGGGTAGAGTGCTTACTGGAAGTAATTGTCCATAATGCTAAAATAACGCTTTGGAGGTGCGTGGCTTGGATGCAGTCCATCGAGCCACAGGGGGGGTGTCTGGCGGTACCCCCCACAGTCGAATATTCGGCTGGACGCCCACCCCCCCAGGCGAGCCGCGGCAGTGTTGTATCGCTCAGCAAACGATCGAAGTGGGGCCCTGGCAATGGGCGTTCCGAACTACGATAAGTCTACTCTTGCAACGCAGACGATTCGTCCTGTTGTCGCACCGTGTTCATGCAAGCATGTGAAAAACCGATCCCGCTGTCGAGATTGAGTTGCGGCACTCTTGGGTGCTCCTTTCGCGGAGCGTCCGTCGACAAGCGCTCAACCACGTTGGAGAGTGGTTGCCCAGAAACGGACGGCCCGCGCCGTTGGGGACGGTACAACGACGTGGTGGCGGCGGCGAGATTTGCGCCATGCACCCTGAATTGCGTTTGCAATGAACTCGAGACATGTATCGCGCATGATCTGTGCGAGGTAGGTGCCCGACAGATTGAGTCACCCTTTCTATCGGGCTGTGAAACGATGCTCGTAACTGCTAGCCACGGTTTCACCACGCACCAGTGTGCAACGACTCTGGACGAGTTGCCCAGTCTGCTGCCATGCTGCATCGGCTCGTGTCCTTCGCTGCACTCGTCGCAGGTACATAGCGCTAGGCTCTAAGCGGCGCATACGCATGAGTTGCCCGCTGACACGAACTCACGTGCAGGGTTCGGGGGGCGGCAAGCAGTTGCCAAAACGTACCGGTTGACGAGCAGTGCTTTGCAAACGTCGACGAGTGTCGGGACGTTTCCAGTGCTACCGCCAGTGCTCGTACAGGGCGAGACACTGTCGTCGCTCGTGGTGTCGCTGCCGACGTCCGCGACGATATCGGTGGTGGCCAACGTGGATGCGAACCATTGGTTTATGTTTTCGCCGTCGACATTGGTGGGAGGGGCGCAAACGCTGTCGCTGGCCATCCAGGGCGGCGGCACCGCCACCGGCGAGTACACGATTCAATACGTGTCCACCTCGACCAACGAAACGCTGTATGCCTCGCAAATCACTGTCGTGCCCCCGCCCGTGGCGTACGCGGTGCACGAGCCTGCGTGGACCGGGACAACTCTGGCGTCGGATACGTTTGACACGTTGCCATTCGGAGCAATTCCAAACGCTACGACGTCGTTCTGGCAACAAGTGGACCACGGCTTTGCCAGCGATGCATGTGGCAAGGTACAGTTTCCAGTCGAGTGCAGCACAACCTGCGTAATGCATGGAATCGTCATGCTGACGTGTGCCAGAGTGGAACCATAGGCAACGCGTTGTACTTTACACACCTCGGCAAGCGCGCGGCGGCGACGACTCCCTTTGATTTGAAAGGCATCGACGCGCAGCTCTCGTTCGCATACATCTACGGCCATCGCGCCAATCCCACGTACGACGCGTGGGGAAACAACACGTTGTCGTGCGAGCTTGTCCAGGCTGGCGCCGAAGTTGCCGTCGAAATGAGTATCGACAACGCAACGACGTGGCAGCCCCTCGTGGTGCTGGCACTGCCCCCGACGCCAACCTCAACGATGCAAACGACGTCGCTGCCGCTAACATCGCCGTCGTCGGTGTCCATGTCCGGGGCGACCGCGGCTGGCAGCGTCACGAGCTCCTTTCGGTGGATCCAGCACACCCACACGAGCACCCGCGTCGGGTCCATTCAAGGCACGTGCCATTGTTGACTGGCGCTTACCAGCCATGGAAACCCTGGCACTTTACTTTTCGTTGTAGGAACTCGGTACCAATGGCAATATCGCAACCTCTTTGACCAGTGGGCCATCGACAACGTCCTGTTGACTGCTCGTATCCAGCAACCGAAATTGGCGGCAGCTTCTCCAACATTTGGCCGCGATTCCCTGACCGTTCAAGTGGTGACTACGGCCACGAGAGGGATCGTATTGGCATTTGTCGGCGACGGCACGCATCCATTTCCCGTGTGCAATGACACTGCATTCGCGGCAGGACCGTCGAACGCAACCGTGTCGCTGCGCACGACAGGATTCATCCACGCTGTGGCGTGTTGGCGAGGCGGCCAAAGCTACGGCTATCGGTCGCCGCGTCTGTCCATCCAAAGCCTTCCGCCAACCTTTCAAGTACATTCGTCGGGAAGTCAATCGTACGTCGTCACGGTGACCATGCCACGGGCCAACATGCAGCTCTGGTTTACGTTTGGAACGGGCGACGAAGCCCCCAGTTGTACGTTCGGATCGTTCTTGAACGTAGCAGGCTCTACGGCGACGATGACGATCGGCAGCAATGGTGTGTTGAGGGCGCTCGCGTGTGGACCTGGCGTTGTGGGCAGTGAGATTGTGATGCTCCCTCCGTTTGTCGTGCAGCCCAAGGCACCGACCATTGCTCTCGTCGATGCTGTCCCGATCACAACCACTGCTCAATTCAACGTTTCCATCACCGCCGATGACGCGGCAGATTCGACAGTCCTGGCACGACTTTTGCTCCCGACTGACACAGACACCACGCCCCCCTCTTGCCGTACATGCTGCATGAGTTTTCCTTCATGTCCTAACTCCGTGGTAGGAGATGCCGCCCCTGCCTCGGTCGGAACAGCGTTCGTTACGTTGCGGCCACATGAACGAGTTGTCGGGGTCGCGTGCTGTGGTTCAACCTATTGCAACGACAGTGCTCCCGTCGTGTATGGCCCTGTCGACGCGAGTTGTGCCAGGCCGACTCTAGCCACTCGATGCAGCACGACTGCCATGCGGACCATTGTGGCTACACTCACGCCAGGAACGAGCGGTGGAATTGTCAAGTACGCCACGTCTGCGTCGGATGCGCTGACGTGCTCGGACGCCTGGCCAACGTACACCGCTCCGCTCGAGCTGTCGCCGGCGACGATGGCTGCGACAACGGTGGTCGTGAAGGCTCTTACGTGTGTCGACGGATTGAAAGCCAGCGACTCCCTTGTGACAACGGTTGCCGTAGACATGTGCTGTGCGGGCGCGCTGACTTTCCCGTCATCGTTGCCCGACCAACCCTGCAGCCACGTGCTCCTCTTCCGCGACGATTTTGCTGCATGTAACATCACGAAATGGACAAAGCACACGACCCAGTATGGCGGCGACAACATTAACGGTGGCGTCCACAGCGACAACGTGCAGTGCCTGGCCAACTCGGCCGATTTCAGCGGGGCGTCGACACTGGCGCTCATCGTGAATGGCGATCGATATCCTGGAACGGCTCCCGTTGGCGTGAGGGTGCAGTCGGATGGCTCTGGTGCGTAACTCTTCAACGAACTTGTCACCATAGCATGATTCTAGTCACTGCCAGATTGCCCACAACGCCCCTGAATGGGTGGGCATTGCCTGGTGTCCGCTCGTTTCCATGTCCGATCGGGACGGTCACGTGCGCGGCGCGGCGAGTCGGCGCCGCGATCTCCACCGTCGACGCATGGAACGCAGGCGGTGCGGACAGCCTTGGCTGCCGTCTCCATCTAACCGGCGCACTTCAACGTAGTCGCAACCTTCCAGCTCAAGTCGTGCTCGGCGTTCGGCGTGGCGACAGAAGTTTGGGCGCTCGACATCCTTGGCATTCAATCGGCCGTGGCGGCGCCATCGACGCTTCCATTTGCAGACCTGTGGCGCGCTGCACTCGAGCAAGCCCGCACGTCGCCAATTTTGCACTTTTCCCATGGAAGCGCCATCACGGACAACCGCGTCCACACGTTTGTCTTGCAGTGGAATCGAATCGAAGGGCGTGCAAATGTATACCGTGACGGCCAGCTCATTCGAAAGCTGCGGTCGCTGCCGTCAAGCCCCGACGCGACGCCATTAACGTTTCACGCGTATGTGCCGAATGCGTGGGCGGGCGAGCCACGGTTTACTTCGTGCTCGACCCAGATTGCCAACGTCCAAGTCGTCAACGTCGAAACAGCCGCGAATCGATGGTGTGACTGGGAAAACGAGGCGCCTGTTTCATGCACCAGCGACGCCGCGTGCACGCAATGGATGGCTGGCGCGTGCTTGATGCCGGTGGCGTCGGCGGTGTGTGTGAACAAGGCGTGTGCGTTTGCACTACACCCTCAGTTTGCGTCCCCAGCGGTCCAGGCGGCGACGGCATATCGCTCCACGTGATGGGGGGCGGCATCTAGTACGCAGAGGGCGGTGGAAATCACATGAATACGACCATGTTTACCTTTGAAGCCGTGTTGGCCCAACCCATGACGCAGGGAAGTCGAGATCGATCGCGAATTCTCGTCGGGGAGTCCGCCGTTCAGGGTTCATCGCTATGACGGCGGCAAGCACAAGTTCTCTGCTTGGACGGAATAGTCCCTTCTCACAAACACCTTTGACGTCACACAGACCAGTGAACACACAGCTGGACAAGTTTATTGCGTTGGTTGGGCATTCGAAGTCTACTTGCCCCCCTGCCTTCCCGTGCTCACCAACCTCGTGCATCCTTGGTTGATCACGGCAGATGCAATAGCTTGCGCCAGTGTGGCACACACGTGGACCTTGCTACGAGTCTTCTTCATGCTAGCAGCACGGACAGCGGCGTCCACCGTGTCAGCAACGAGCTGCTCGGCTACTTGGACAACGTGCCAGTGGGTAAGGCTGCAATCCGTCATAACGGATGCACTTGTTGCGTTGGATTGTCGACTGTAAAGCGAGTGGACGGTGTGTGAAAAGGTGGCCGCTTCGGACTCGCGTCGTGCTGTCGGTGGGCGCAAGAATGTGGGCGCAATAAAATGACGCATGATGGCTGCCAAGACGTCGTCGGCCACGGCCGTGGCAATTTTGGTGAGGTGGCCGAGGCCTGAATCATGCTTTGCAACGTTGCGGGGGCACTCATTCCGTTGATTCTGTGCGCTTGCCAAGCCAGCCACAACAGCGCCCTCTCCAACGGGTGATTCGATCGACGCACCTTGAGCCGTAGCCAGCTCCTCTACGTTTGGAGAGGTCGCAGGTGCCGCCACGGCAGTGTTGACAATCCTCTTCGTCTTCATGGTTCTCCCTTCCACTTGTGGCAGTGCCGTTGTTGTGGCACCTTCAAGTCGACGAACGCTCTGTCCACCGGTAGCGCTGCGACTTCTGGATGCTGTCGAGGCATGTCCCGCACTTGTCTTGCCGGACGGCGGAGCTGTCGTTCCTTCTACAGCGCGGCGGGTGACTCTACGAACCCTCTCGCGGTGCTTTGCCTGCTGAGCTGGTTTCGAGTGGGCGGTGGCTGCGTTTTTGACGGTGGGTTGCATGTTTGTGTCTTGGGGCTGGTCCGACGATGGGCAAGTCGACAGGGCGCCGTCGGCAGCACCTCTGTCGTTTGTGCCTGCTGATGGAAGTCTAATCCTTCCATCGTGGTGAGGCTCTTTTGCAGAATGGATAGCTACGGCGGCGTTCTCCGTGGCGGACTCGGAAGGTAACGTGAATCTATCGTCCGCGGCTGACTCCAACTCGAGGACGAGATGTTCCCGGGCTACTGCGACGACGGCCGTGTCTCGAGTCAAGGCCAACGAGAGATCCGCCAGCTCGACTAGCTTGGCCACAAACATGACGTCGACGTTAGCCATGTCGTGCATGTACAATGCGCGAACGGGCGGCAAGTGTGCGTCGATGGCTTGAAACAGCGCGCGGCACTTGACAGCTTCGAGCAAAGTTTCGACTACTCACAACCTTTCCAGAGTCGTCCGTCGAAATGGCGCGTATAGATGGCCCACCTCCAAGCAACGTAACAGGATTCCCGCTGATGTTTAGCGCAGTGATGGTGGGCTCTTGGATGAGTTGGCTACAAACGCGCTCGATGACACACGTGACGTCAATCCCCTCTGCCATCGCCGCTTACGTGGCAATCGGAAAGCACCCTGCATCCGTCAAATTGGCAAAGGATAGATCCACCGTCAGTAGAATGTGCGGGCGGAATGCCGGCAAGGACAGAGTCGGCACCGCGTCGATGTTGAACCCTGGAATGCCACCGCCATCGAGATCGACGCCATGAAAATCCAAGCTGAATTCGGGCAGCCCATCGTCGTCGGCGTCGGCTAGACGATCGGTCAAGTTCCCAAGAGCATCAATCGTCCAAGCGACGAACCGAATGTGCGGTGGAGAGGCGTTGGCCTGGCACATGGCCTTGTCCACGTCTTGTCGAGGCGACACAAAATGTGTGGTTGAAACTTGGCCTGGTACGACTGCAGCACCCGCTCGACCTCGAATTCGACTTGACCTTGGTGAGTTGGTGGCCGTTCCTGTGGACGCCGCCAATGTGTGAGCACGGCATGCCACGACTCCTACCTCAACCCGACCTTGGCCGTTTGGGGCCTCCTTGGTTTCGGCGGCGAGAACGAGTCCGTTGCACGAGCTTCGTGGACTTCTTGGCGCAGTCGCGACGATGCTCGGGCAGTATCTCGAGCGAGGGTCGCGGAGTGAGGTCGATTTAATCGCTTCAACTTGACATGTCGTTTTGGGAACGACGGTGGTGGCTCGTACGTGCGGCGCAACGGCGGCGGAATATCGCGACCTGCCGCTTGCTCCACCTCCATATATTTCTACTCGATTGCATCGTTCAAGTGAAGGTTTTCTCCGATTCAGCTCACCACGAAATCCTCCAAGACGAAAGCGGGGATTGCCGGGGGATCTGCCTCATGTCATGCTGTCAAGTGGCGGGGAGGCGATAGCGAGGAGGCCGACCTGGGTCGAACGAAGTGAATTGCAATGTCTTGGGAACGCTGCGACAGATGGGCTGAATGGATTTCGGTCGGTGCTACGAGACAAATACCGTGTGAGGATGTGGTCGCCAGGTTTGTTGTTTGTGGACCTTTTCAATCGAGTCGAACGCAAGGAGCATGCTCTTCTTGTGAGCTCGAATGCGCTCCTCCATCGATTTGGCTGCAAAGGCTGCGGCAAAATTCTGTGGCGGCACAATGTGTCCCCGTTTCTGCATTGAACGAAAGCACACGTACGTCGAGGCGCGCTGTCGTTCGATTTTTCGTCGTCGACTTCTTGGCCTTTTTGCCCTCACGGCGCAACTTCTCTGGCGAGCTGCCATCAATTCGCACGTGAATCTGGACGCCGAGAGCAGCAGAACGCGTCACTACATGCGCCACAAGACTTGGTAAGACATCCTGTCGAAGCTTCAACTCAAACCTTTGTGGCGGTGGCAGCGAACAGGGCCGTCGGGCATGCTGCTGACGGGTGCTTGGAACCCAAGCACGTCAAGAGGTACCGCTTTGTTTGATCCCGCAAGCGATATCGCGCCCGCGTTGTTACTTGAAATGCCAATGTTACTCAGAGCGCTAAAAATACGTTTTTGGCGGTGGAGGTGGTCGCATCACAACAAGTGTGACTTAGGTATGAGATGCAAAGAGGGCTGAGCGCATTCAAGAAGGCGGCCGGGATGCGTGCACAAGCGATCGGCTGGAGAGCTCCCCAGTGTCTGCCGATTTGAATTTCTTTGATCGGCATCACCGTGGCACACCGCGTTGACCCATCACACTTCCCTGCCAGACGGCCCCCATTTTGAACCGCCTTGCAGCCCCCAGGACGTCACTTCATGCGGTGTTCATGAACTCTTCGACCGAAGGACATCGTCGTGTCCCGCCGAAAGCGGTCGTAGCACTTTAGGTGGTTCGTCTTCGTTGCAACAGATTCAACAATGTGGGCAGTCGTTTGTGCCAAAGGTGTGGGGTGATGCCGAGTTGGTCGGGTTGGTTCAATGAGCTGTGGTGTAAGTAGTTTGTTGGGCATTAATATCCCTAGTGCTCTGCGCTCCCGCCACGCGACGGCACGTCTTGTTCACGGCAGACAACTTGGACTCCAAGACCAATTCGTGTTATATCATGCCATGGTTAAAGTGCAGAGCGGTCATGCGCGGCCACTACATCCTCGCGCTGTTCGCTCAAGTTCATGCAAAGCATGAGTGCGACTTGCACCTTGTTCCACTTCACTGACGCAATGATATCCCCCACGGCAGGCAACTTTGGGGCAGGCACTGCAATGGCAGGCGGAAAATGTGCACAACTCCATCGCGCTAGCGCGATCGAGATGCCTGCACTAAAATGCTTTGCTCGCACAACAGGTTCAGCTTGGACGTATGATGCATCTATGGGTGGCACGAAAAGATTGAATATTTAACCAATGGAGCGAAAAGTCGGCAAGCCACATCGCTCATTGCTCGGCGCCATCGGTGGTGGTGTTGGTGATATCGATCACGATTTTTCCCTTGGCGCGCCGCGACTGCAGTTTTTCAAACGCGTCCACAATGCCTTGGGCAGTGAACGGAAAGACTGAGTCGATGATAGGGCGCTGGTTGGTCTTGACCAGCAGGCTCACGACTTTGGCCAGGTCGGCGCCGTTTTGCTCAGTCAAGATGAGCGACACATCCTTTCGAGGAAACCCTGAAAATCGACGAATCCACAGCGTCGGTGGTCCGTTCAGAGTCACGTGATGCTTGGAGGGGTCTTTCAGAACGGCTTTGGCCTTGTCGAGGTAGTCCTCGCCGGCGCCGCTGCCGGTGGCAGCATCGTAGACGAAATCAAAATGCCCGGCGTGGCCGTCCTCGATCGTCTGCGTGTTGTAGTCGATGATGCGGTTGGCACCGACCGACTTGACAAAGTCTTCATTCTTTTTCGAGCACACACCAACGATTTCACTGGCGCCGAGCGCTTTTGCCAGTTGAATCGCCGCTGTGCCGCAGCCGCCACTGGCACCGATCACGAGAATTTTGGCTCCGGCCTCAAAACCATGTCGAACTAGACCTTGGTATCCCGTCAAATATGCAATGGGCAATGCCGCGCCTTCGTGGAAGGTCAATTCGTCAGGCAGCTTTGCAATCAAGTTGGGTTTCACGACCGTGTGGTCAGCCAGCGCGCCAGTCGTGTTGCCAACCACACGATCGCCGACAGTGAAGTCTTTCACGTCGGGGCTGACTTGAGTCACAACACCGGCAAAGTCAAGGCCGACACCGCGGCCGTGGAGGAACCACTTTGGCAGCTTGTAATCTACATCTCCATCATTCGAATTCCCGACGCAATGGTAGGCAGCGACACGACGTACCAACAGGGTTCAAGGAGGCGGCGCGGATTTCGACAACGACGCTGTCGGTAGCTTGGAGCACGGGCTTGGTCGGCTCTGGGTAGAACGCGCGCCCGGTGCTGCTGAAGATCGAGTAGAGCACGGAGGGCATGGGGCACGGAGCGAAATTGGGCGAATGGCCACGCCGTTGGCTCTATTGTCTTGAGGCGATGAGGACACTCAGCTTGGCGTAAACGTGCGTTTATCTTGAAGTTTGTATAGTGTCCGGTTGACGGTAACGTTTCACAGGCCGTAATATACGAATTTGATTGGGTAAGCGCAACGACATGGACCAATAAAATGGCTGGATTTCGCCGCGAGACCGTTGGGCGATCTTGTCCGAATGGATCATGGCCGAAAAGCTCCCATCCATGAATGCATCGTGTTGCCAAAGGAGTCCAAGAGAGCTTGTGGATGGAAGCTAGTGCTTTCGTTGGGTGGCTGGCGCCCTTCCTCGCGCGCTAGCTGGCTGCTTGAATATATCGGGGCGCTTGATGGAGTCCATCCGCCCCATCACAACATCACACCCATCACAACGTCCACCAATGCATCGTGACAAAGGGACATTCAAGGGGTTGTCGTTGCTACAAGTACTTGACATCATTGCAGTGCCTTTTCATGCATTGTGAACGCAGCATGATTCATGGCGAACTGACAGTGTTTTCTTGCGTGAATACCCTTCTTGAACAAAGAAACCAATCGAAGGGGGCTCATCCGCCTGCCACCTCGGCGTGGCTTACTCATCCCGTGCATCGTGTGAACTACTGCGCGCGTGGTTGTGGCAGCCTTGAAAAGTATGGGAATTCATTCTTGTTGGACTTTGATGAAATCGTGCAATCTATCAATTTACGTGATATGCGGATTTTTCAGATTTGTGTATTAATAATCTATTGAATATTTTCTTTCGCGTGCAGAATAGGACAAGATAGCTGGCTCCAAGATATATCACCTCGTTCTATTTCGAAACTACCCCCCAGTCAGCCACACCATGCACGGATTCTCGATCGCCGCGGCGGCAGCTTACGTCGTCGCGACTGCGTATGCATATGACTTCAGCTCGCCGCTGTCACAACGCGTGATCCTCTCCTCGTCGGCAAAGGCATTTCAAGTTGCCTCTGTCGATGGTAGAACTTCGTTGGGCGACAGCTGCAACTCCACGCTGGACTGCCCATCTGGCACATCCTGCGTCGCGGGCAGCGCACTGGAAGCTGTCCAGTCGTGCGTACAAGACCCTGTTTGCGGCGGAAACTTCCCTGGCAATTGCCCCGGCCTCATCAGCTCTGGCCAACTCGTGTGCGCGTGGAGTCCTGTCAACGCGTCTTCGTGCAGTGGCTCCGTCGACTCATGCACTGCTTTCGGAGGGATTCCCGGGATCTACAAGTGTATGTCTGTCGATCGATGCGATGCGATCGGAGGCTCTGGTTCCACTTCTTGCAGCAGTGGATGCAAGGCATCGAATGGACTCACGTGCAACGGTCGGGGGAGTTGCCAGACCACGGACGGAGCGACGTACTCGTGTGAATGCAACTCTGGATGGACTGGCGTGCACTGTGAAGTAGTTGTCGATGGAAGTTGCCAAGCTGGCGTTGGGAGCTGCGGAGCCCATGGGACATGCACGGATGGCAAATGCCAATGCGACACAGGCTATGTTGGTGCGCAGTGCGAATCGTCGGACGCGACCACGAAAGCCCCATTGACGCCTGTAACACCTTCGGCCACGTCGGGCCAAAGCAAAGGTCCATCGCCTGACCAGGACTCGAAAACGAACTGGTCCACGATCATCGCGGTTATCGTGATCATCGTTGCTGTTGCCGCAATAGCCGTGGTCGCGTATTTGATTGTCGCCAAGAAGAAACGCGAGCGTGAAGCAGCCGAACTGCGGGCTCTGATCAACCGCGATGACGAAAACGAAGGCGAGCGGGTGACCACCCCAAAATCGGCGATTCAAGTGCTCTAATTAAGAAGACCTTACGTCGCTTCGTCGCGCACCTCCCCGCTTAATGTATTATGCATGTATTCCACATCTAGTGGATGACTCCACGAGAGTTTCATGTCGAGTCGGGGAAGGTCGTCCGTGCTCGGCGACTTGTAGCCATCCAGATCAGCGAGAGAGCAGCTCGCTAGAGGACTAAAGTTGCCATTGGAGTCATCATGAAGAGAGCGGCAGGGTGTGGTTGCGGATGCTGGTATGCATGTGTGAGGACAGCTGGGACAGCCAAGGCATTGTGGACGCGAGGGATGCTTGAACCAACGAAACAGGAGGTCTAGCTCCGCATGTCGCTCGTGAGTATGCCATAAGATTGATGGAGCCATGGAAATGGAACACTGTGGACGCAGTCTTCTTCGGCTATCGACGGCTACAACATGTCGATGAGGTTGGAACACTGCCAAGAACGTCGGCTGTGGAGCTTGTCCATCCTAACCAGCGGCTCGTGGGCAAGTCCAACAAACAGCTTCGACGTCAGTAGCATCCAGTCGTGGCTGGCACTCGCCAGAGCGGCCCTTTCGAACTGTGGAGCTCGCGCCAGGTCGACTCGACACGATGTCGAGGCATTCCTTCTTGGTTGTATAGATTGTGCAAAAATTCCCATAATATGATGCACATACAAAATATACTAGTAGCATTAAGCACATACAAAATATACTAGTAGCATTAAGTTTTGTTACGGATATTTTGCAGGCATATACGTACACATCAAACTTATTCCTGAATGGTTTTCCTGATACTGTAGACATGGTTAAAATCGTATTTCTCCAGATCGTCCAACGAGTAGAGAAATATTTCTCACGATCGTCCGAGTTGAACGATCATGAGGTACTACTAGTACTATTTTTATTCCAAATCGCCCATCACGACATGATTGGCTAAAAGTCTAACGAGCTTTAAAACGTTGGAAGCCAGTCCCAGGTGGGTTTTAGTCGTCTCCTTCCAGAATTTCAGCGACCCCCTGCAATCACCGACCGCATCCGCCATCCACGACGCCACACCGAGCGCAGCAGCCACCGAGCGGTATGACCTAACGAACTTTCGATGTACACCTGTTCCACCATGCCAGGGATGCCGCGTCCTCCGGCTCATTTGATTTTTAGCCAATCATGCCGCGATGGACGATTTGGAATAAAAATACCTCATGAACGTTTATTTTGGCCACTCGTGAGAAAAAATTCCACTCGTTGGACGATCTTGAGGAATACCCTATTTAAAACTCTCCATGCGGTGCAACATATCCGGACCGGATACGACTGTCGCCAGGCCGCTGGCGTTCCTCGGTCGTGCGCAACAGACCAATTCATGATGCATCGGTGGCTTCTGCTCGTGGCCGCCGCGTACATCCCAACCGCACATGCGCTGCGACCGATCGGTCTACCATGTTTGAATGCAGCCGACTGCCCCGTGGGAAGCTCCTGCGTTGCGGGTGACGCAACCGAGAGTATACAGACGTGCGTTCCCGACCAAGCATGCGGTGGCAACTTGCCCGGCAACTGCCCTGGTTTCGTCGAAGAAGGGTTGCTAGTGTGCACGTGGGTTGAGCAGCACCCTTCAGAGTGCACATTTGGTCGATGCAAAGCTTTTAATGAGTCTGTGGGGATATTCAAGTGCCTCTCCATCGCCAAATGCGACGCTGCACTCACGTCGTCAACTTCCAGCCGTGACAACGATCTCTGTTCGTCTGCGTGTGTATTTAAAGGGCAAACATGCAATGGAAGGGGAAGCTGCCGGTCCGTGGGTCCTTCCAATTTTACGTGCGCGTGCGAAGCGGGATGGAGCGGTGCAAAGTGCACCCAAAGAAGCGGCGACCAGGACCCCGATACCGACGGCTCTCTCGCCCCCACAACCACTGCTTCCGCAAACAACCCCGTCACCACGACGTCCCCAGAAACCACGGTGCAGCCACGAAGCAGTGACGATGTGTCGAATGCAACCAACACAACACATTTGCGCGCGAAGCCCAAGTCGTCGGCCGCGACGCTGGATGATGGTGGATACCTCCCTCTTCCTGTGATCGTGCTCTCCACGGTGACTGGTTTCATTCTGGTCGGGATCATCATCTTCGCCCTGTACGCTCGACAATTGAAAAGGCGAGCGGTTGCTTCGCAGCAACCGGTCGTTGTACCTGTCATGGCGTCGCAGGACTCGACGGCCACAACTCCCCGTCAAAACATTCAAGTGCTGTAGATTTGAATCTATCGTATGCACGGACAGATGTAGCTGGTTTCCGCTTTTTCGCCATCACGCACAGTGAATGTGATGGACTTGAGGCTGTTGACCATGAGAGACAGAAGCCACTAGAGCGGCGAATCCAACGCTCCAGCCAGGAGAGCAGGGGGAGCCTGACAGGCCGGTTGGTACTGAGTTGAACCCCCCGACATGACCCCATGCCTTGTCGTGTATCTGTTTCTGGTCTTTGACGTTTGCGTCCATCTGCTATCAAGTAGGGATCAGCAAAGCCCCAAGGCGGCGACGTCCCACCTCGAGATCATCCTAGCGCCGTCGGGGTACTCTTTAAGCTTTCAAGCGGTTCGCGCTTTCGTGAATCGAATGGCTTTGTCGAATGCAGTTGCAGCACTTGTATTTACCGGTGTTGGGGGCGAAATCGATGTCTCGACCGAGGCCGAAAGGCAGGGCTGGAAGTGGATTGCGTCGAACTGGCGTCGCTACGGTTTGTGGGGAAATGGTCGTTAACACACCAAGTAATGACGAACCCGATATCTACCGAGCCAACGTTCATGGCTTCTGAAATGGTATCGTTAGATTTCTACATGTACTTGCAGCAGCACGCACGCAAACGGGTCCATTAGCTTGACTCCGAGGGAGCGTCGCGTCGAAAATGAGGCGTCTCTCCCTTCTCAACGGACGCAGGACACCAGCACGTCTCGCCAAATCGGATAATGCCATCCATGCGTCCTGTCAAGGAAAATTATTGATTCGGGCAAACGCACACGATGCCGTTCGACGTTTCGATAGGTCCTCGAGTTTGCACAAACTTGGCAGGCTGGCACATTGTATAGTAGCGGCGGTGGCTCGGTGGCACTTGAAACGAATCACATCCAAAGGACAAGACCGTCCATGCTTCGATGCTGCACAAGATGCATCCAGCAAGCCAACGCCACCAGTTGCCACACAAATGCTTCAAGTTTCCAGCGAAGTTTGGCGAAATGCGCCGACGTCAAGGGCGGCAATGCTCAAGCTGGCCATGCCTTCAGGGACGATTCTAAAAACACTCTGGACAAATGTCTTTAAATCCACAGCACATCGCCAGCATCCGATTAATCAAGGCATTGTCCCCTACTAGCAAATTGTTCGAAGGGCGAAGTGACAGCGTGCTGCTCGGTGTGCCCGGTCGGTGAACGCCCGGTCGATGAACTACACCTCGCTCTTTTTCGACCATCCACTGCACAAATGAAACCGATTCCCTTCCAGATATGCGCATCCCAAGGCCGTGTCCAGGAGCCGACTCTACAATCGTGCACCAGTTTAACAGCCCCAAGGAGTTACACGAGCGGTTTCGTAGAAAGGGCGTCACCGTTACCGGCTTGATACGCGCACATCCAGTCGAGCATCCTGCTTCAATGGGCCTGGCGACTTGCTCTGGCTGCGCCGAGTGCTTGTGATTGCGGACTAAAGTTAGGATGCCGCCACAAGCGCCAGGACATGGCCGAAAGCCACAACCGCATGTAGCAGCAAGAAATGAAACAGCCACGTAACTGCTACATCATTAAACACAGTTTCGTTCCTGTGCCACGCAGTGGCGGCAACGCTTTTCAACGTGCATGGAAGTCTTACATGAAGACATTCTGGTCTTGATACTGGTACCGCTTGATGTTGACGCCACGAGCTGCTGCATTCCGTGACTCTGACTTGGCGGGTTGCCGCAGGATTACCTTCAGCACCATGGACTACACAAGAGCGTTCTGGTCATTCAAGAAGAAGCTAGAATCGACACGTCCTGGTTATGTGGTCCCAATGCAATGGTCGCCCGACTGCGACGTTGTATTTTCCACGGCGACTATGACGGTGTCCTTGAACTTCTCGAACCGCTTCGACATGCGCAGAACGGCGTGTATACATCCATGGCGACGGCGCTGTTGCTGCACGCGTTCTACGCGTCGTGCATTGCGGACGACTCAGTACGTGCATGCCCAACCAAGTGGTGTTCAGTCTCGTGCGAGTTTGTCTTTACAAGCCCAAGAACGCTCACCATTGTTGTGCGAATGTGGTAGCCACAGATTCGATCCATGTGGCTCAAGCGACTACAAATCATCTCGCCGCCACATGCAGCGGACCTCCAGCTGCTGATACATGCCGTGGATGTGCGGCAATTGCGTCCAGAATTAGCTTCGTGGAACATACACCACGAACGGTGGGGCTGCTTTCGCGAGCTCGTATCGTTCCTTCGTGATGTCCCAAAAGAAGGCCTTCGGTACATGACGATTCAGCCATTGCATTTGCAAACCCTCCTCGGCCAAGCTATGGCCTTTCAAGAGGTAGCTGTGGCACGATTTGGCCTAACAAAGGGACTGACGGTACTTGTTCAGATAAGCGCCACTGGACGTCCATTCGCAGAAGCTAGCGACACTTCACTTGCGCTGGTGGAATCGACGAACGGCGAAATGCCAGCATGGGACTGCTTCAACTCGAGCTGGTCTAGCCTGCATCGGCGCTTTACACCTGCATCATTGTACTTGGACGGCGAATCCAGGCGTGGCATACGACGAGTCAGTCACGTCACTCCAATGCCAAGAAGCTCGCTTCCATCGCGGCAGACGCCACCTTGGCCCACAACGACCGTGAGCGATGACTTGACTCTGCCTGTGCTGTCGCAGCCCGTTCCGGTCCTCCAGGACTTCAGCTGCCAAACCGATCCTGCAAGCATATGCCACCGAGCCAGCCAAACCAAGACGACGTTGGTTTCCACGATAGCAACTACTCAAACGGACACTCCTCCTGCGGTACACCACCAGTTTGTCCAAGCTAGTCTTCATGTCGACAGCCAACACAGCCAAACCCAAACGACGATGCTTCCAACTCGCCACACCCCCACCCAGACAATTGCCACAGCGAACGAGTCGTCATCGACCCAAACCATTCCCACGAGTGCAACGCATATCGCTTGCCAAACGGTGGAGAGCATGCCTGTAGCGAGGTGGGATACGACCAAGAGGGCAGCAACCAGCGACAACGCTCCGAACAATCAAGCTGAGGGCCGGCCGATGTTGAAAAATGAACAAGCCGAGTCGAGCTGCTGCCTCGAAGAGCCGGAAGAGAGCGTTGACGGCGATAAAGTGGAGGTTGGGTCGAACAGAGGCGACGACAATCTCAATACAACTTTGCGGGCGCAAGCGCCGCCAGTGGATGTCCCCAGTTCTCAGTGGGAGACCATTGCGATCGGGCAGGGGGCGCCTCCGTCGAGCCCCGCCGCCCCTTCACGAAATGACATGATTCGGTTGTCCGAGGCGTGGAGCCAGATAGACGCCGTCCCGTCAAGGCCGCTCCAAGTCCAGCCATGCGCAAAACCTCCTCGCGATGTCGAAAGCGCGTCTCCTGCTATGATTTTATTGACGCAGGCTGTGGTGACCAGCCAAAATTCGCGTTTGAGTTTCCGACATGAATCGAGGCCAAACGCGTGGATGGGCGAGTCGTCATTGGTAAAATCCGACCAGGCCCAACTGACACCACCACAAGGGCCACCACGACCGCAGCCGCGCCAGCCACTCCGTGTCGGCGCGACCATGGCATTCGCACAAGAGGAACGTGCTGCTATATTAAGAGCGACTGTCATTGCCGAGTCGCGGGAGTCCCAGGTAATGCACACCAAACTCCGAACCACATACTTGGCACTACAAGTGCATGGTGCAGGCGATTCGCGCGATGTCCATCAGCCACAGCGGCAAGTACATTGCGATGGGAACGAATGCCCGTGTGCTTCGCGTGCTCAATATTCACGATGCGATCGGCAAAGCAGCTAGCGGACTTCCGTTGGCAACTCGGCAACTTTTGCCCGTCGGTCGAAGCTCCATGTAGCTTGCTTTTTCATGCCACCTTCAATGATCTTCGACTAGGTCGTCAGCGAGCACTACAAGCACCACAGCGGCCCGATCTACTGCCTAGCGTGGCATCCACGGGACGTGGTGGTTGCGTCGGGTGCAGCGCACGACTTTCAAGCTACGGACTCATCTCCAAGTAGGGTCAAGCGACGGCTCCATTCATCTCGCCAAGCCGTTTGCGCTGGACGCTGCACCTGTCGGCTTGTCGGGCCACCCAGGCAAAGTTCGCGCCGTGCAGTTTTGTCCACAGAATGGTGCGTGCGCTCCGCGGCCGCATCACACCGATATCTCATTCCCACCATCACCAGGACACATCGTCGGGTCTGTTGGGTCAGGGGATGCGCTCGTGCGTATTTGGGATGCGCACGCGGTCCAAGCGGCACCGATCATGCAGATGCATGGCCACGTCGGGGAGCTCACTTCAGTACGGAAATGGCTGTCGAGTGCTCCACCCCGTCTCGATCCAATCTCACATTCGTAATCGTGATGACGTGTAGTTCGAGTTTGCGAGAGCAGGGGACGTTTGTGTCACGGGGTCCCAGGATCGCACGGTGCGGTTGTGGGACCTTCGAAGCGAGGCGAGTCAAAGCATTCTGCAGGGGACATCGCCAGTCCAAGCCGTCACGTGCCATCCCCGCCAAGGTAAAGCACACGAGCGCAGATATCCACGCCGTGTGCATTGATGGGGTGGTTGCCATGTAGCCGACTGGATCGCGTCGGGGCATAGTGACGGGTCGTGCTTGGTTTGGGATCGGCGACATGCTGCCTCCCCACTGGCTACGATGCGCCACCACGGCAAGGAGTGCCGGGTCGTGGCATGGCAGGGCCCTTCCTCCAACGACAGCTTTCTCTTGACCGGGTCGTTTGATGGCACAACGTGTGTGGTCACCGACAAATGGACAGTGCTCGGGACGTTCCAAGAAAACGACGACATGATTTTGCAAGGCCAGTGGCATCCATCCGTTCCCGCGTTTGCAACGTCGGGTGGCGACAAAGCATTGAAGCTGTGGAAGTTGTCTTAATCCAACGATCTCCAAGGCCGTTCAATGTGGCGTTGTCGTGTACCTGCCAATTCATAGCACATGCGTTCGCAATGGAAACGTGTACTGGGCCGACAGCCGTTGACAAATTCGATCGAGACGCTTCGTGTGCTCGAATTCTCGTCGGCGTTAGCGCTAGGTCGGTGCAAGTCGTGTGGTCGCA